AATTTATTTATGATTTGGGACTACAAGGCAGTACCTCGGGATTGCCCTGTTGGTATTTCTTTATTTATGTTCTTGTCTTGGGTGATTTTGTTTCATTTAATATGTCAATTCTTTTCTTCTTCCGTGATGTACTAGTTGACTTTATTATTATATGTTTTCTGCTCCTAGTTGTATTGTGTTGGCTTTGGCTTTTTAGCACGAGACTCTGAAGAAGTATATTTCTGGTTTTTCTTATTGATTTTGGATGATTGAGTTAATTTAAATAAAAGAAATTATTAGTATTATTTAAATTAAATAGTTTTACATCCAAATCAGTAGTTTATCCGATGCTTTAATTTAAGTGCAATGTTATTTTGTTCACCCAAATAATTTCTAAAATAAATTCATTTCTTTGTTGATTTCTTACTTAATTTAAAATTGTAAACTCACTTTAGTAGAAATAAATTGATCATGTGGATCTTATATACATTGATATTATTGGCACGTGAGTTGTCCGTGTAGTTGTGATAGAAATATGGGCACAAGGTGCCGTGAAAATATGGAAGTGGGTTGAGATTAGTATTTTTATGATTATGAAATGAGGTGTCACAAGGTGACTTTTATTTGAAAGAATTATATTTCAAAAATATTATTTGAAAGAATTATAGTTGAAAGAAATTTATTTGAAGGGAGTATATTCGAAATATATATTTATTTGACAAGGTTATATTCTAAGGATTTTTAGTGAAAAACCTCTATTTGAAAGATTTATACTTGAAGTACTTACATTGGAAAGACGTATATTTGAGGGACTTGATTGATTGGTTGTATTTGTGTTCCTTATTCGTTTGAGAAATATTTATGGTGTTCTTGTTGCCTTGTTGTTTATTTTATTTATTTATTCTTGTTGCCATCTTTGCCATTTGTTTCTATTATTATTATTATTATATACTGCTACGCTGCACAGGTTAATTGATTAGTGAGTGTCTTGACTGTACCTCGTCACTACTCCACCGAGATTAGTCTTGATACTTACTGGGTACTGACCGTGGTATACTCATACTACACTTCTACACATTTTTGTGCAGAGCCAGGTATTGGAGATATCGGACTCGGGCATAGTTAGTGTGTTGATCGCAAGGATTCAAGGTAGTGTTGCTTGGTTGTCGCAGTCCCCAGGAGTCTTTCCATTTTATTGTACTCTTAATTATTATTCGAACAGTATTATATATATTCGATCCTTGAGATCATTTCTTAAATTCAGTTAGAGTTCGTGACTCAGTATTACCATTCTTGGGAGGTTGTTATATTTGTAATTATTTTCGCTGTTGGTTTTTAAAAAGAAAATGGCCCGAATTGTTCTTATAATCGGCTTACCTAGTCTTAGATACTAAGTATCATCACAACGCCTGTGGTGGGATTTTGGGTCGTGACAAGTTGGTATCAGAGCTCTAGGTTCATAGGTTCTACGAGTCACGAACGAGTTTAGTAGAGTCTTGCGGATCGGTACGGAGACGTTTGTACTTATCTTCGAGAGGCTACAGAGCTAGTAGGAAAATTTCCACTTCTTTCATTCCTTATCGTGCGGCTTTTATTCAGCTTGAAGCATATATCTTATGTTCTTTTTCATCCACTCGTGTATGAAATTGCACACTCGGTATGAACTATGCGCCAACGATTCGTGCTACTACATAGGGGTTATAAGGGAGCCACGGTTGCTCAACCATTGTTATAATGTGTTGTCTAGATCGAGGATGCGGAAGTATTGAGAGATCATTCGGTTGTGCACATGGGGGTGCAACAGGTTCTGACATCTGGTTGATAAGTATGATCTTGAGAAGGTTTAATTAATTACCTAATTGTCACAATCGTGGTAGGTTCACGAGGTGGATGTAGATCTGAAGATAGTTGGTGGTATTAGAGACTATGTAGTTTGTATGGGATTTCTATTTAGTGAAGGGTACATACTAGCAGCCAAGGCACTGGAGGAAGCGAGTTTAACTGTCACGAGGATGACATGCACCAAATAAATGGCTTGAGGTGTCTTATGACCGGTGTCGTACGAGCAATGAAGGTTAGTGTTANTCTCGAAATCTATAAAGAATCCAAAAATTTTCAAACATGAAAATTATAGCCCTTTGATTCTAGTTTCCCGAAACTTAAACCATTCATCATTTGGACATTTGTACAGAAAGTTATGGTCGACTGAATGAAGGCCGGTAAAGCTGTTTCACTAGAAATTTCTGATGCATGGAGCCTAATTTGGAAGCTTATATCTCGAAATGATTTGTATGGGATGATGCTGGGACTTACGGTATTCCCGCTTCCTTAATAATTCTATATTTCAGTACCAGCGAGGTCACATAAATAATTTTAGAATACTCGGGGTGCTACAGTAAGTTCTTTTAATGCACCACCAGCACAGGGTTCCTATAGNGGAGTCCACTATCAACGATCAGATTGTGGGGTCATGTGTTATATCAGTTTTGGCCTGAGATGTACTTATGTGGTATTGAAAGGTTCTCCGAAAATTGTATGTGATTAAGAGCTGAGATTTGCATGGGATGATGCTGGGACTTACGGTATTCCCGCTTCCTTAATAATTCTATATTTCAGTACCAGCGAGGTCACATAAATAATTTTAGAATACTCGGGGTGCTACAGTAAGTTCTTTTAATGTACCACTAGCACAGGGTTCCTATAATGGTTATTCCCGTTATCCGGCAGAGACTCATTATGAGCAGCCGAACTCGTAGAAGGGTTGTTATCAGTGTGATTGTACTAGGCAAGTCATGAGAGAATGTCCTAGACTTGGAAGAAACGTATTTCATCAGAATACTTAGGCTACAAGCTTTATTCCAGTTAATACTCCACGTGCACAGCCAGTTAGGGGTGGAGGACAGGCGGGTAGAGGGCGGCCAAGAGGGGGAGGCCTGGCCCGTTGATATAATTGCTATGACTTGGTTGGGGCCAATACACCAGATGGTGTCATACATGCATGATTTAATTTATAATAAAAGGAGCATTATTCTTATTTTGATTCAATTCTGATTATCGAGGTGAGACCTCCTATCGTGTTTCATATAGGGCGAGTTTGTGATTTGTACACCACTCACGTGTTTACCCCTGTTGGGAGATTTGATGATGTTAGTCCGTGTCTATCATTTTTATTTTTGTTCACTATTGAGGGCTATAAGTAAAAAAAAATGACTTTCTATTACTCACTACAGTGGGTTTTGATATGATTTCGAAATAATTGATTTCAATTGCAAGTTATTGCTTTTCTCTTTTAAATATTTTTTCCCTTCTATTAGCCTGACAAGCTTCCCAACATAATATGGTTCTTATTCATATTTGACCCATTTTTAAAAAGTTCATTATCCAACCCATTTTTTGTGGATAATATGAGTGGTTAACTATTTTCTTTTAACCATTTTGCCACCACTACTCACCAGTAGTTTTACTACTATAGTATTTATGTACTATGATCTCTTTCTCTAAATTCCATTTCTAAACAGACATGGAACCGTAAGGCAAATGACATGAATGTCATTTTAAGTCAAACAGCACGTGGACTATAATGAGGAAAAGATCTTTTTAGAATTATGTTTCTACAGGTGTACATGTTGCCTACGTTAGGTTGATTAAGGACATGTATGATGGAGTAAAGACCCGAGTAAGGACGGTGGGTGGGGACTCGGACCATTTTCCGGTTATGATGGGGTTGCATCAGGGGTTCGCACTCAGCCCTTTTTTGTTTGCTCTGGTGATGGACGTACTGACGCGCCACATCCAATGGGAGGTGTCGTGGTGCATGCTATTTGCAAATGATATTGTATTGATTGACGAGACGCGAGACGGTGTGAACACGCAATTAGAGGTATGGAGGCAGACCCTGAAATCTGAAGGTTTCAAGTTGAGCAGGACCAAGACAAAATACTTGGAGTGTAAGTTCAGTGGCGAGACTTAAGGAGGGAAAGGGGAGATGAGGCTGGACTCGCAGGTCATCCCTAGGAGAGGGAGTTTTAAGTACCTTGGATCTATTATTCAGGGGATGGAGAGATTGATGAGAATGTCACGTATCGTATTAGAGCGGGATGGATGAAATGGAGACTCGCTTCCGGTGTTTTGTGTCACAAGAAGATGCCACCGAAACTTAAGGGTAAGTTCTACAGAGTAGTGGTCAGACCAACGATGTTGTATGGGGCCGAGTGTTGGCCAGTCAAGATCGCTCATGTACAGAAGATGAAGGTAGTAGAGATAAGGATGTTGAGATGGATGTGCGGGCACACCAGGTTAGATAGGATCAGAAATGAGGTTATTCGCGACAAGGTGGGTGGGACCCCTATTGAGGACAAGATGCGGGAAGCACGGGTTAGGTGGTTTGGTCATGTGAGGAGGAGGAGCACAGACGCCCCGGTGAGGAGGTGTGAGAGGTTGATATTGGAGGGCCTACGGAGAGGTAGAGGTAGGCCAAAGAAGAGGAAGGGAGAGGTGATTAGGCAAGACATGGCGCAACTTCAGCTGACTGAGGACAACCCTTGATAGGAAGGTATAGAGGTCGAGGATTAGGGTAGTAGAGTAGGTAGTCTAGAGTGTTCATAACAATGGCATTGGCACGCAGTCTCGCTTTCTGATGGTAGTAGGTTTTTATGACTAACCGTTGTTTCTTTCATTGTTGATCACCTTACAGTCTTGTGGTTTTTATTCTGCTTTTATATGGCTATTGGTATTTTCCCTTCTTGTCTATAATTTCATTAATGTGGTGCTTATGCTTTCCTAAGCCGAGGATCTATGGGAAACAACCTCTCTATCCTTACAAGGTAGGGGTAAGGTCTGCGTACACACTACCCTCCCCAGACCCCACGGTGTGGGATAATATTGGGTATGTTGTTGTTGTTGTTTCTACTGATGTTATCATGAACACATTATTAGAAATGAAAACTCGTTCAGAAGTGTTTATAGTAATATACTTGAATCGTGTTTTATTAATAATGTCAAAATTCTGTTTTTGATTTGTTCATTTATTCACTTCTTTAAATGCCGACACCACTTACAAAAATTCTGAGTATGCACTGAAAATATTTATAATACCTCTCCAAGAGGCCAGTAGATGGATTCCTTCCTTGACCATATTGCTGAAATAAATATTTAACAATATCACCTGAGAAAGAAAAAAAAATTCATTAATTTACTAGAGGAACAAAGTCGTAAGAGAGCTCATGCAGCCCCGCGTGAGGAGTTGGTGCTAGAATGCTGGTTGTCTCATCAATTATTTTTATATCATATCCCAATTAAAAAGGAGGTGCCTCTTGATAAAAAGGAGTTGACACGATGCATGACACCCACTGCAGCTATTGTTCTCTCTTTATTTGCTTTTCTTTGCTTTTGGTAAGTCGTTCATTTGCTACGACATATGGGTCCTAGCATTCATTCTAAAGTAGCTGATGTAATTTAAAATGGACAATGGTGTGCTTGGCTGGAAGAAAATGATCTAGAGAACTACAACAGTTGGTGAACCCCATCCTTATGGCTATGCTTCCTTCTACAGGAGCTGAAGAATCGAAATGGAAAGGAGACACATGTAAATATTCCATTAGAAGTGCTCATGAACTGCTAAGAAACAGGGGAATGGGCACCTTTAATGTGGCTCCTAAAAAATCCCCCGAGTAGCTTTCTTTGCCTTACCAATCAGAACAGACTTAGCACACTGGACAGATCTAAGTGTCGCGAGATTGTCGAATATAAATATCTGCTACTTTTAAACTCAGCCTGAGAGGCTGAGACAGTAAAGTTTATTTTTTTCTGGCAGTTGTTCTGGCCTATGTGCCGCCAGATTCTGCAGAATTGCCTAGTACATACAGTTCTTACCCTTGTAATGATGAGCATGCATGGTAATCCAGGTCCCAAAAGCAAGTCCTCTTTCAATAGTGGGTACTAAAGCTTGGCTTTTCTTGTCTGAAACTGTAGAAGGGGCGGTAGAATAGTAGTCAAGTTGCTAAAACCAGACATATCTGAGAACGAAGTTGTTCTCTCCTTGTTTGATGCATCTACCCCTACAACTGTACACCAAACATAAAAGTTCCTCCCTCGACCGCTAGGAAAAAAAGAGAGGATAGCCATCTGTTCTTAAGCTATTTAAGACAATCAAGGGCACAACTATGCTTAGTCTTCATTTTAATCCAGGGTAGCACAAATTAAAGGCTTAACCCACCCACTAAGATTCAAAAACTGAAGCATCTACGTAATATTGCTAACTCATTTGGTTGGAATGGAGGCTTGCATCCGCCGTCTTGTGTGATAAGAATGTGCAACCCAGTCTTAAAGGTAAGTTCTACATAGTGGTGGTTAGACCGACTGTGTTGTATGGGGCGGAGTGTTGGCCAGTCAAGAACTCTCATGTCTAGAAGATATAGGTAGCGGAAATAAGGATGTTGAGATGGATGTATGAGCATACTAGGAGACATAGGGTCAGGAACGAAGATGATCGAAATAAGGTGGGGTGGCCGCCATGGAGGATAAGATGCGGGAAGCGATGCTGAGATGGTTCGGGCATATGAAGAGGAGATGAGCAGACACTCCAGTGAGGAGGTGTGAGAGGTTGATAGCCTGTTTGGCCAAGCTGGAAAAATCTGCTTATTTTGAGAAGTGTTATTTCTAGAAGTGCTTTTCGAAAAAGTACTTTTGGAGAGTAGTTTGTGTTTGGCTAATCAATCTGAAAAGCACTTTTGAACAATAATTTGTGTTTGGTCAAACTTTTCAAAAAGTGCTTTTAAGTATCAAATTACGAATAAGGACATGAAGAGATTTACTTAATAGTTAATATTATATGAATAAATAAATAATCTCAAATATTTATTATTAAAGATAATAATTAAGTTTTTTCATTTTATTTAAGTAAAACATGAAAATAAAATTCAAAAGTACTTTAATTCTTTCAAGATGATTTAAATATATCAAAATATTATTTAACAAATAAAAGCATTCATCTCAAAAGTCACCATATTAGAAAGCTATCCTAAAAATAAAAATAAAAATATTTATACATTAGGAGAGTTCAATAATATAATCTCTAATTCTAAGTATTAGGTTTAAAATAAGTAAGGTTATTTTGATATATACCATATTTTGCTAAGGGTATTTTTGAGAAGAAGAAAAGTCAAAACCGCTTCTGCTTCTGGGGAGAAGCCACTTTTTTCTGCTTCTCCAAATCTGCTTCTGTTTCTTCCCAAAAGCACTTTTTTCCTCAAAAAAGCTTGGCCAAACACCTCAAGTTGAGAAAAAAAATGTTTTTTGAGAAAAAAAGCACTTTTGGGGTAGGGAGAAGCTTGGCCAAACAGGCTATGAATATGGTGGGTCTAAGGAGAGGTAGAGGAAGGCCGAAGAAGTATTGGGGAAAGATGATTAGGCAGGACATGACCCATCTTCAGCTTACCAAGGACATGACCCATGATAGGAGGTTGTGGAGGTCGAGAATTAGGATAGTAGGTTAGTAGGTAATAGAGCGTACTTCCTTTCCTTTCTAGTAGTTTTGGTATTAGTCTAGTTTTGCTTGTTCTTAGACTTCTTCTACTACCTATGTTGCTTCTGCTTCAGTTGTTACTATCTTCTTGTTGTTATTGCTTCTTTTCCATGACTCCTTTCACTATTATATTTCATTCCCTTACTGCTGTGATTATGCTTGACTTGAGCGAGGGTCTATCGGAACACCCTCTCTACCTGCACAAGGTAGGGGTAAAGTCTGCGTACACAATACTCTCCCCAGACTCCACTAGTGGGAATACCCAGGGTATGCTGTCGTTGTTGTTATTTGGTTGGAAAACGAACAGTTAATTAGTACTTAGATGAAACTGCCTTAAACATAAAAAATTAATAAAGAAAAGGAACTCCCAGCTTCTTACCACTTTCATAGAGCGAAGTTCCAGTATTTGGGTCCACAAGGAATGGGAACCTGCAAAGTATCAACAATTTACTAAGTTAGGAACCTAAACTTTGAAAACTATGGCCCTAAAAAAAATACCTTGTAATAGCTTCTTGTCTCTTAGTGAACCTTTTCAGTTTGAACTATTTCACCCCTGTAAATAGTGCTGACTATTTTTTGGATTTTGTTAGCTCCTTAATCTTAGCATAAACTCATTTGTACTGAAGCTATCTATCCCACCCTTTTGTACTCATGCATCTGCTTGATGCCTTTTAATGAATTTCACTTACTTCATAAAAAAATTTAGCTTCTTGTCTCTTATCCATATGAATATACTAGGCAAGGATATCCAATTAAGGGGTTATAAAAAGATAGGATTCAGAAAGACACAGCCAAAATAAGAAAACGATATAATAGAGTCATCCATGAATGATCACTTTGCATCTTCAACTTCTCATGGTTCAACATTCTTTATTCTATCTTATAACTAGCATTTCGGAACTTGTTTTCTTACAGAAAAGGAAAAAAATCTTCTAGTGCTTGCCAAATTAACAAAACCTTAATTTAAAATTCAATCTGAAGATTATCTACATACTGTTCTTTGCCTCCCAATCTTCTAACCATTTCTCGGTGTCTTACAGAACCCTTTGGACATGGATAAATCTACAAAATCACATTCGGGCCGTAAGGTAACCACATAGCAAATTACATAAGAGATAAAGCAGAAATTAAAAAGATAAATAACTTTAGTATTCAACATATCAATGTGATTATATGTTGCGGCAAAAGAATATGTTAAAACTCATAATCAAGTCACACCAAAAGAACCAACCACAGAAAGAGCTTTGCATTTAAGCCATGTTCTTTTTATTCCTATTAACAAGTGATGAGGACCAATCTGGATCTTTGAATAGCTGGAAGAATTGCAGATTTTCGTGTTTAACAGAAAGCAAATAGTCCGATGATATATCTAATTTATATACTTATGTAACGTAATGCCATGGTTTTGAGGTGAAACAGAAAGAAGACTTAATTTAGCTAGTTTGGATGAACCTCAGCTTCAGGTAATCTCCAAATAGATGCTGAGTATCCCTTTGAGGAATAGAAATTGAGATAGCATCTAGCTCGATGATGGGCGCATTGCTAAATTGTATTTCCCCTGTACATCTTCTAACAAAACCTAATAAATACAATCAATAACAACAACAACCCAGTAAAATCCCACAAGTGTGTCTAGGGAGGGTAGCGTGTACGCAGACCTTACCCCTACCCCGACGGAGTAGAGATGTTGTTTCCGATAGACCCTCGGATCAAGAAGACGAAAAGAGACAATAAATCAGTAACAGCAACAGAAACCAGAAAGATAATACCAAACCGGAAAATAGATGGAAAAGCGATAACAATAACCAGTAATAATGGAACAATACTATGAAAATAGAAAAATAGTATAAACACAACATTAACCACAATAAGTACAATCAATGATAACAGAAAAATTGGATTTTCTCAAATCTTGCTAATATCGTGATCGTACATAAGATAAATTCCCGTGCTCAATCAAGGGCGAGAAAAAATTAAACTTTTTCAGCATAAAAAGGTGGAGATCTGAATTCCCTATATCTCAAAGTTGGAAGAAGGACACTCATTTACTTTTGCTGCTTCTATGTGAATGCTAGATACAAGGATCAATCTGAATTTTGACATTTCTTGCAAAGACGCTGTATCAGCACCAAAACCAACAGCAACTCCTACTGGTTGGAAAAAGAAAACGAAAAATAAAGAAAAAACAGGAGCCAGTCCTTGCAGTGTCCCTCTATCTCCTCAAGATATCTTATATGACTGAAATTCTCACAACCCTCGTTTCAAGAAAATAACAAAGAAAAAGAAACCAACTGCTCTCCTGTCCTTAACTTGCAAAGAATGCAATTATGTAAAATTGGCTAAATACTTCCTTCCATTTTACTTGAATCCTGTTTGACTACCATGGAGATCAAGAAGAGAAAGTGTGAATGGATTATTATCATGGACTCTTTTTCTCATAAAAGAAAAATCTATTATGGAATCAGTGTGGATTATTACTTGGAAAATTATAACCAAAAGTGTGAAGGTGCGGAGAGTTTTCAAAAGTTAAAAATAAAATAAAATAAAATAAACAAATAATACCTATATCAGTGTATATTACATGGAACTTTTGAGATGGAAACTTATCCAATTGGGGAAGGGGTCAAGTACTTGGGTAGTCTAGCACTGCCTAAAATGGTAAGTTTTGTTAAGTAATTTGGAACAGAGAGGGTAAATGAGTGTGTAACTCTAATTTGGAACAGTTATCTGTGTAACTTTGATGGATGTATCTACATTCTAAAGCTAGTAACGAATACGTCAGTATAGAAAATGCAGCTCTCTTATCCACGTGAAAAGATCTTACAACAAAAATCTTACCCCATGGGTTTTGAATGAGGAATTATACTCAAAGAAACAAAGGAAGAAATCTACTTATGCAACTGAAACCAGAAAAGCTGATATCACTTATTTTAGCATATGTTCCTTCTGAATATGTAAAAAATAAACTGCAGCAAGTAAAGGATGGGGTAAACTAAAGGGTTTCTATTACATATGGAAAAACCGAAACCAAGACTAGGAATTTTGAAGAAACAGGAACAAAAATCATTACTCTTTCGTTTCGAAACAAGAAAAAGGGATTTTCCTAAACCATAAAAAAATTTAAGAGGAAAAAAAATAAAGAACAACTGAGGCTAACCGCATTTGTTAAGAAGAGCATTATGGGACATCAGAAATTCGGTGTGGACATGAACCTAGTCTAGACTCATGACTCGCTCCAAGAATATTGCACCTAATTACAACATATATGAGGAGAGATGAGGATTATCAAATTAAATCTAGAAGACAATACTCACTTCTGCAGATAGATCAAGTTCGGTCAATGCCTCTCTAACCCTTCTGCAAAATGGGCACGCCTCTGTTGACAATTCCTATAAGAACCTGAGTTATTCCATTATGAAGTAACACATACATTCCGTTGCATCATTACACGAGATAAATGTGGGTGCTACACCCCTTAACAAAAGTTTCTAATAGGGTTCATATTTAGAGTTGTATGAAAAGTTAATACTTTAATGCTCCTACAATCAGTTTAGGTTTCACATTTACTCACATTACTTAGGGGACTTTTCCAGATTTAAAGTGTGCTGTGTGCATAGATTGAGAAGCGAGAGAATACTGCAAAAGCAGACATATCAATAGAATAAGCTAGTTTTCGTCTAGTTCAACTGACTAGGAAACAAATAGCTTACCCCTTCATTTTGGGTAAAAGATGCTAACTGTTAGATGACAAGCTGGGTATTTACCAAATATAAGCGTTGATACTTTGTCACATGAGCATTCCAAGCTAAAATTCTGAACTTTCCACTTTGTTTTTGCTCATGCGTGTATGAGAAAAACATACTTCAAAGATTTTTTAGTTTTCAGCAGTCTGATTTCTTCGGTGTGTCAAATCTCATAGATACAGAAAAATTGCTAATGTTTATATTAGTCAACATCATGGATTATAATTCGAAAGGACTGATGATTTAAACTTAGCACACAGCAAAGAGATGCTCACCAAATTCAAAGATCTGCAGGTGCATTGGAGGATTAACTTTACTACCATCTTTACTACCTAATTTACCATATTGTGCTCTTGAACCCCATGGAAGTCTTGCCAAGGTAGAAAGTCTAGATGTTGCTTCCTACAAGAAACAGGTTCTCAAAGATTAGGTGAAACATGAAAGGATAAAATGGCAGCAATAAGTAAAAATCTAAAACAAATTAAGCCATCAACTCGTCTACAAGGTTAACAGCTATTTTGCATACATCCCCATAATTATGTTCAGAAAAATAAATGTGTTAGATGAGATTGTAGCTATCACATATAATTCTACAAAGTTCAAAAATCCTATCTACCCAAAACCATGTTATCTCAGAAAGACAGTTAAAAAATCAGACCATTACTTCCTTTTTCTTATTCTTCTTTTCCAGAATAAGGAAATCCAAGTTTTCAAGGGTTGTGCACATACATCAGCAAAGTCTATGCTGCTCTAAGAAAATAGTAACTTTGAGATTGACGTCTATTACAAGTAACCTAATTGTTTGCTGATCTAAGGGGGTTTAGTGAAGTATTAATTTTCACTTCTGTTGCTAATTAATCTCTAATACATCATATATCGAAATAGTCGAAATCCATGTAAATTTCAAAGTTAGCATGATCAAGTTAACCACAAAATGAATGAATTGATTTACAAACTTAAAAGTCGCTAATTTCTGCAAAATCTAGGATCATTTGGCATGGGAAGTCAATAACTGGTGAAAAGTTTGAGTCCTCCTTCTTGAGTCTCTGATTTTTCACTACTGTATCTCATGATGTTTTTGTACTTATTTCTCATCCTTCTTTCTCGTTTCCCTTCACAAGATTCATACAGCAATCTCATGTTTATGTTTCTTTAAATCGTATTATGTATTAAGTGGCATTAATGCCTAACTTTTGATAAATTCAACCTCTCTCATACATAATTATCTAAAGATCTAGCACAAATGTTATCGGAAAAATATAAAATCACCATACTCTTAATGTAGCTCAAATTTATGTAACAGCAGGAAGGAAATAAGAAGAAAAGTACAAGCAAATCTTGAACAGGATATTTATTTACAAGAGAAGCACTGGATTTTAACAGGTAACCCTGGGAAGTAACCAGCTAAGGACAAGATAACTTTACGGATCCAAACTTGCAGCTTCGTTACAAATCAAGCTATATATCCTATAAAAAGATTCCTAACCGTTTGTGAATAATAATGTTAAGATTCATTTTTCTTTTGGCAGATAAACACACGACTAGATCGTTAATCCAAGATTAGCTCCATTGTTTTTCTTTTTCCATTCCATTTGTCTATCAACCTCAAAGTAATTATGTGTGCCTGTTCGAACAACTTCTATACCAATACTGATAATGCATGACCAATTGACAATAAGAGCAATAGAAGACAAAAGTGTGCACAAATAACAGGTGCAGAACTCTACCACTTGAAATGAAAAAACAACTCGAAGAACTTATAACGTGATGGTACCTCCAATAAATAGTTTCTTTTGCTTGACGGGTCTCCTCCCTGCACGATGAACAATAATATTAGTAAACATAAGAATGTCAAATAATTTTTGCATGAAGAAAGCAGAAAAGAAAAAAAATAACATTCAAAAAATAGAATCAGCAGCACAATTAACAAACTACTAGGCATGACCTTAGACTAGACGCATCCCCTGGTAAGCAGTTGGTTTATAAATGTTAAATTGATTATAAATGAGAAATCCCAAATTTTCGAATATTGAAATGAGGAGAAAAAGAGAGTGAAAGAAGAAAACAACACCAAAGCAATATAGGAAAAGAACAAACTCACTGAAAAGAGTTTAAGCAAGGGGCAAAGAAAAGACAATAAGCTGGTAGAAGGGCTGCTGCTGCTGCTAAGGCCAACATTAATCTCAGAAGTTTCTGAGGAATCTTGGGTTTCCATTTCTTGGTCAGAAGATTTCAATTTCATTGCTGGGAATCCATTTCCTTTGCGGACGGAACCCGACTTCCCATTTCTTGAGATTACATGTTTTTGGCATTTGAAGCTGAAAATTGCAAATATTGAGGAATTAGTGGAATTGTAGGATTTGAATGGCAGAGTTGGAGGAGCGCATAGTGAGTGAGTGGGAGAGAATGTAAAGGATGACATTGACAACTATTCTGGAGGGTTAGGACCGTAGCTACAACTTTTACTTGGTTTTGCTCGATCTTTGATAATCTATCTAGTAGCGTAGAGGAAAAGACTTAGAAAATCCCATAACTATGCCTATAGGATTTTATCCCTTATCTGTACCATTGAATATAAAATATCCATTGTCTTGGTATAAGTAGACAAAAACTAACGGATATGACCCTCTGTTTGGGTTAAAAATAACGGAGCTTTACCCCATCAAAACCCAGTTAAAAATAACGAACTCTCCCTCTTTCTCTTCAACCGTCGACCCCTTTTCCCCTAAATTTCCTATCATACTGGAGGAATTCTGCTCCATTGCGAACCTAACTATGGACTGCAACTTGAAAAATTCTGCAATACAAAAATTTCTGCTGTATAAAAATTTCTGCACAACTAAATTTCTGCAAATCTAAAAAATTCTGCAATTTGTAATCAGTTCTAAAATTATATGATGCATTAAAGTATTAAAACATAGTTATAGCAATTTGCTCAAAATATGAACAACATATTGTATATGATGTTGTAAAAACATTTAACAAGAATCACTTTCTTGCACCCAACCCAAGGGTGTGGCGTCAATGAAGTGGGTTAGAGCATGGGGTCTCGGGTTCAACTTCCAGTGGAGACAAATATTAGGTAATTTCTTGTCATCTATTCAAGTCTTGATGGATAGAGTTACCTGGTACATGTTATTGGTGGGAGGTGACATGTATCCCGTGGAATTAGTCGAGATGCACGCAAGTTAGCCCGGACACCACGGTTATAAAAAAAAATCACTTCTATTGTGACTAGAAACAACAAAAAGTATGACTAAACAACATCCATGTTCCAAAGTCTTCAACGATTCCTAAACAGCAGCAAATATGACTAGAACAATGTCCACGACACAGCAGCTAAGAATTCCAACAGTAGAATGTCTTCAATAGTAGTGAGAACTACCCTGTTCTACTTCTCTTGTTCTAACCTACAAAATACAGAAATATGTTTAATGTGTAGTATGTAAATGGAACTTATTTGAGTAATTCGGCTTCCAAAAAAGAAAAATAGCAGCAACTATTAGTTAAACATCATCCAAAAATAGCAGCAAAATAATTCGAAGAGCATCCAACTTTTACCTCATTTACTTCTCCTCTTCTAACCTACAAAATAGAGAAAACATGATTTAACTTTTAACTTGTAAATAGAAAGGCGATTTCAAATATTATACCGGCAATTTTTCAGGATGTGATGATGTAGTTGATTGCCAAAAGACTGGTTCATTTAGGTCAGTTTCTCTCTCCACATAGCTAAACTTGCAAGTTCTCTTGTTGTGACCGGGCTTATGATAAATGCTAGATTAAATAGTTGTTTGCTTCCTTTTCATCCTTGTTCTGCTCGCTCCAGCTTCCCCAAATTCCTTTCTCCTCAATTTTTGCTTTCTTCCTCTTTTTTGTTTCACATTCTTTGGAGGCAAAAGAGGAATCTTACTAGATTTAGGCCACAATTGTGATCCATTAATTGGAAGAATAGCATATTCATAAATTCTCCTATATGTTTCCACCATGTAGCAGTCATCGATGTAGTTGCCGAAATGGCATGCTTGCAAGGATATCCGGTTATAGTCCACTTCCTACAACTACATGTTCTGTTATGTAGGTCCATTACCCAACCATCATCCATGCTCTCTCCAAGGATTTCATAATTCCACTTATTTGACTTTTGAGGAATAAACGCAACTGCTGCAGACTCATTTTTGTGTAAAATATTCTTGATCCTAGGGAAAACATCACCCGAATTCTATTTTTCTCCTTTATCCTTGTTAGCTTGTATCCGAGCCATCAATAAGTATCTTAATTTCTCTAACAATGTTATAATGGGCTTGTATCGGGCCTCAGGTATCATGCTATTAAAGGATTCACACATGTTATTCAACAAGATATCACACTTAGCATTTGAATCTGAGCCTAGATGTGTTCCTTGCATACCTGTCGGGCATGTTACCCGGTAGGGATATTGATTTGGTGCCAGGTACTCAGCCCAACTCTATTCCACTATATCGCATGGCACTTAGTAGAGTTGAAGGAACAATTACAAGAGTTGCTTTATAAGGGTTTCATCAGGCCTAGTGTGTCACCTTGGGGTACATCGGTACTACTTGTGAATAAGAAAGAAGATCTTATGAGGATGTGCATTGACTATATGCAACTGAACAAGGTTACTATCAAGAAAAAAGTACTCACTACTGCGTATTGATGATTTGTTTGATCAGTTTCAGGGTGCCAGGGTATTCTCGAAGAATGAGTTGAGATCAGGGTACCATCAGTTGAAGATTCGGGATTTAGATATTTTGAAGACGGCTTTCAAGACTCGCTATGGCTACTATGAGTTTCTGGTGATGTCTTTTGGGCTAACCAACGCCTAGCAGATTTTATGCACTTGATGAACAACGTATTTCAGCCCTATCTTGATTTCTTCGTCACAGTTTTTATTGATGATATATTGGTGTATTCTCGCAGCTGGGAGGATCATGAGCAGCATTTGAGAATCGTGCTCCAGACTTTGAGGGAGAAGAAGATATATGCTAAATTCTTCGAGTGCGGATTTTGGTTAGACTCGGTGGCATTCTTGGTCCACGTGGTGTCCAATGAGAGGATTAAGGCGGATCTGAAGAAGATTGAGACAGTTTAGAGTTGAACAAGACCATCTTCTGCTACTGAGATCCTGATTTTTCTTGGGTTGGCTGGGTATTATCCCCGTTTTATGGAGGGGTTTTCATCTATAGCAACCCCATTGACTAGATTGATGCAAAATGGTGCCCCATTCAGGAGGTCTGATGAGTGTGAGGAGAGCTTTCATAAGCTCAAGACTGCTTTGAATACAACCAGTTCTAGTTTTACCTTCGGGATCAGGTTCTTATACGGTCTATTGTGATGCTTCACAGATTGGCATTGGGTGTATGTTGATGTAGGAGGGGTAGAGTAATTGTTTATGCTTCGCGTAAGTTGAAGCCCCATGAGAAGAACTGCCCAATGTACGATTTGGAGTTGGAAGCCATTGTTCACGCGCTCATGATTTGGAGGCATTATCTTTACGGCTTGTCTTGTGAGGTGTTTTTAGATCACATGAGTCTCCAATACTTATTCAAGCAAAAAGATATGAACTTGAGGCAACGGAGGTGGTTAAAACTACTAAATGACTATGATATCACCATTTTTTATCATCTGGGGAAGGCCAATGTGGTGACCAATGCTTTCTGTAGGAAGGCTGAGAGCATGGGGAGTCTTTCTTGTATTCCAGTTGGGGAGAGACTGTTAGCTTTGGATGTTCAGGTTTTCACCAATCGGTTCATGAGGTTGGATATTTTGGAGCCTAGCAGAGTTTTTGCTTGTGACATATCACGGTCGTCCTAGTTTGAGCGCATCAAGGCACGCTAGTATGATGATCCCACTTGCTTGTCCTAAGGGACACGGTGCAACATGGTGATGCCAAGGAGGTTATTATTGGTGATGATGGGTTATTGAGGCTACATGGTCGGATTTGTGTTCCAAATGTGGATGGATTGCGGGAGTTGATTCTTGAGGAGCACCATAGTTCGAGCTATTCCATTCATCCGGGGCCATGAAGATGTACCATGATTTGAGGCAGAACTATTAGTGGTGGAGGATGAATAAAGATATTGTTGAGTATGTTGTTCGGTGTTTGAACTGTCAGCTGGTGAAGTACGAGCATCAGAGGCCGGTTAGTTTCCTTCAAATGCTTGATAGTCCGGAGTGAAAATGAGAGCGTATCACTATAGATTTTGTAGTTGGGCTACCACGTACCTTGAGGAGATTCGATGTGGTATGGGTCATTGTGGACGGACTGACCATGTCTACATACTTAATTCTAGTCATGACTACCTACTCTTCAGAGCAACTGGCTCGGAATTATATTCGAGAGATTGTTCGCCTTCATAGTGTGCCCGTGTCTATTATCTCGGATCGAGGAACGCAATTGACATCGTATTTTTGGAGAGCAGTGTAACGTGAGTTGGACATACAGGTCGAGCTGAGCACGGCATTTCATCCCTAGACAAACGGGCAGTCTGAGCGCACTATTCAGATACTGGAGGACATGTTACGAGCATGTGTCATTGATATTTGAGGATCATGGGATTAGTTTCTACTGCTTACAGAGTTTGCCTACAACAACAACTATCAGTCGAGTATCCAAATGGCTCCTTATGAGGCCTTATATGGGAGGCAATGTCGTTCTCCGGTTAGTTGGTTTGATCCTGGGGATGCTGGGTTGTTGGGCATTGATTTGGTCCATGATGCTTTGGAGAAGGTGAAATTGATTCAAGAGCTGCTTCGTAGAGCACAATCTAGGAAGAAGAGTTATGCTGACAGGAAGGCTCGTGATGTTGCATATATAGTGGGTGAGAAGGTTCTACTCTGAGTTTCGCCCATGAAGGGTGTGATAAGGTTTGGGAAGAAGGGAAAGTTGAGCCCTATTTATATTGGTACTTGTCGTACCTCCAAGTCTATTGGGAGTTCACCCAGTGTTTCATGTTTTCATGCTCCGAAAGTATTATGGTGATCCTTCACTTGTTTTGGACTTCAGCACGGTACAATTGAATGTGGATTTGACTTATGATGTGGAGTCGATGGTCATTTTGGATAGGCAGGTTTGAAAGTTGAGGTCGAAGAATATATCATCGGTGAATGTTCATTGGAGAGGTCAGTTGGTAAGTCGTGTAACCATAATTACACATATGTAAAGCATCAAATAGGGAAAATGAGGCTAAAATACGCAAAACGACTGACCACATCGTTACAACACTTAAAACAAATATTAAAAGAAAATTAAGTAGATAATTTGATATTCTTTCTTAAAATGAGGAGAGCATTTCGTAGCACCCAAATTAAGTTTACTTTATGGAGAAATGTCATTCTTTTTTATTAATTTTAGGTTGCAAAAACACTACTATCAATTTTCCAAAATCATTATTTAAGAAAAACAAACATTTTATTTTTCTATTTCCTAATAAAATAAGTATACACCTTAATCAAATTTGACCCGTTGACAAATCCTCATAGTACCATCTGTTGATACCCAATTTTGCTCTCATATTTTAAATAAGTATATATACTTTCAAAATGTCATTTTGCATCATTACTTAATTTACAAGATTTATGCAAGTATTTTCTATAATTTTTCATAATTTTTAGAGCTTTAAAATTGATTTCTTTGCATTTAAACTACTCGATTATTTACTAATTACCCTTTCAAATTATTTTGTGATGACTTAATCATCCAAATTTATTATTTACATCTACATACACGTTTTAAAACATTTTACTTCATTTCATATAATTATATTTGTATTTTTGAGCCATTTACATAATTTTGTAATAATAGCCTTTATTTTACAATAAATTGCATCTGTCATTTTATTTAAGGTCAATTTTTTTTTTTACATTTTTTAATAATCTTAAACTATTATTTTAAAGTATTTAATTGATTAAAAAGCATTTTTATATTTTATTTAACTATTTTATTAAATTATTTCCCCTTAATTCCCTACTTTAAAATCTGGTCCAATTATGCCTTATTTCTCAAACCAATTGAGGTCCAAATGGACAGGCACATCCCAATTGACCGCCCTGAAGCCCAAAACCAAATGACCCAATAGGTCTGCCCATCATCGACCCGCTTTCTCCCGACCCTAGCACCCTCTAATCTCGGCCGTTGATCTCAAATGATCAACGACCCACAATAAATCCCCACCTTTCCTTATATCCCCTCACCCAAACCATAATCCCATTTCCTCACTTCATCCACCTCTAAATCCTCTCTATTCCGCCTGTCTCTGAGAAACCCTAGTAGTCGCCTCCTGATTTCTCTCTAATTCCAACCTAACAATGGAATCTCTTCTTGATTCACCTTCCTTATTTGTGTTACCGCATTAGTATCTATGCGATAATGGTGTTACTTAGTACTTGCCTAAACTTGGCAAGTACTATCTCTCAGAACCGGGCCCGTTCAACTCAATCTTGGAGATTTGGACCAAATCTCGTCCATATATATGAAGAATAGTTTGATTCTTCATACCAGTTGGCCTATTTTGAGTTTTAAACCCCAACTAGGGTTTGGAGTTTGATTTCTTTCCTTTCTAGTTACTCTACTGATTTGCATGTGAAATTTTACTCCTTTTGTTCATGTTTACTTGATTTATTTCCTTGTTTATCCGCCTGATTTTACCACTATATAAATCCCTCCCCTGATTCCCTTGGAACAGACTCGAAGGACTAAGAACTATTGTTAATATCTTACTTTCATCTTCTATATTATTTTTGCTCTCTCTTGATTGTGGTCAGATGAAATCCAAGGCCACCAGAATCTTCTCTATTAATCTTCCTAGTGCGAGCACTGCTCGAGGATCACTAAAGCTCCTGTGAACTCTGACGCACTAGGATTTGGGGGTTCTCACTATTGTCTTTCTTTTGCCATCACTACTGAGATTTTGAGTTACTAACTCTATTGCTCGTTTTTATTCGTATCTGGTTAGCATTCGTGACCCTTATAGCCTTAATTATTACTCCTTTACTTGTTCATGTA